GGAGATTGCGAGTTCAAAGCCAGCCTCAGAAAAGTGAGGTGCGAAGCAAATCAGTGAGACCCTGTATCTAAATAAAATACAAAATAGGGCTGGGATGTGGCTCAGTGGTTGAGCACCCCTGAGTTCAATCCCTTGCACACCTCTATCCCCCAAAATGTGAACCATTTGTAGAATCATCTGTATGGTATGTTTCCATTTCCATAAACAAGATATCATTCAAGAAAAAATACTCATTCCTGACTGACAGCTAGGTTGGCTGTTCCTAGAGAGGTGTCACAGAGTAGCACTATTGTTCAGTCAAGTCTAGAGACTGGTCTTCATAAAAAAAAATGTTTATGTGCTTTTGTATGATTCAATATAGTTGGAAGAATGCATAAGAATCTGATTACTGGGGCTGGGGTAGAGCACTTGCCTCGAATGTGCTCTAAAATATGTGCTCAGCACCACATAAAAATAAAGGTATGTGTCCATCTACAACTAGAAATAATTTTTTTAAAAAAAGAATCTGGTTACTGAGATTGCCTTTTTGCATGGTTGGGACAAAAAAAAAAAACCTCTTATTTTTTAGTGCCTTTTGAATTTTGTACCAAATACCTGTATAAAATGTAATTATCTGGGTTGGGGTTATGGCTCAGCGGTAGAATGCTTGCCTAGCACGTTGCGAGGTACTGGGTTCGATCCTCAGCACCTCATAAAAATAAATAAATAAATTAAAGGTATCTTGTCTGAATACAACTAAAAAAATTTAAAAAATGTAATTATTGATGACTAAAATAAAGCAAGTGATGAGATTTAAAATAGAACATTATTAAAAGCTTCATAATCTGTTGTAAAATAGAAGAGGCAATGTTGATTGTTTTTGTCTTTAAAAAAATTGGGTTTTCATTTTTAGTAAATTTATTGCAGTAAGTGACCAAATTAGACTATTTAGAAATCAGCTTTTATTTTTTCACTTGACAAATACTACACTGGGCCAGGCATCATCCTAGATACTGGGGATACAACGAAGAACAAATCAGAAACTTCCTCCCCCAAATTTCCTTTCCTCCTAGGGTTTAGAAGTCTGAAGTTGTAGCCCTGGGTACGTCACAATCTAGCTGTTGGACCTTAGAAAACTTCTATCTCTAAAATAGGGGCTGTATAAGATCTTAAATAATTCTAACCCTCTATTCTACTTCTGAAAGATAGAATACATTGTACACAGGTTGGGCACTGTATTGGTTTTCTAGGGCTGTGTAGCTAATCATCCCCAATTTAGTGGCTTAAACTATCACAAATTATTTTATAACTGGAGATGAGAAGTCTGGCTTGGATGTCAATGGACTGAAATCCAGGTGCTGGCAAAGCTTCATTTCTTTCTGGATGTTTTATAGAAGAATCTGTTTTCTTGCCCTTTCTAGTCTTGAATGACCTCTGTCATTCTTTGGCTGGTGACCTCTGTCTTAGTGAGTTTGGGCTGCTATAACCAAATACCATAAGTAGGATGGCTTATAAATAACAGAAGTTTATTTCTCACAGTTCTGGACGCTGGGGAATCTAAAATGCAGGGGATGGCAGATGTGGTGTCTGGCAATGGCACGCTTTCTGATTCATATTTGTTGTCTTCTCCCTGGGTTCTCTGGCTCCCTTTCACAAGGCACTGATCCTATTCTCTGCCATGAGGCCTCTTAATCTAATCATTTCCAATGGCTCCATCTCTAAATACCATCATGTCGGGGATCAGGTTTCGACATTTTGTGGAGACACAAATATTCAGACTATGGCAGCTCCTTCTTTCAATTTTCAAAACCAGAGTCAGTAAGTCAAGTTCTCCTAGCATTGCACCATGCTGACCTCTTCTGCCTCTCTCTGCTACACTTAAGGGCCCTCATGACAACATTGGTAACTCTTAGATAGTCCAGGATCATCAATCTCCACCCTCTCTTTATTTTTGGTACTGGAGGTTGAACCCAGGAGCACTTTACCGTGGAGCTAATACCCAGTCCTTTTTTATTTGGAGGCAGAGTCTTGATAAATTGTGAGGGTCTTGCTAAATTGTTGAAGTTGCAATCCCTTTGCCTTAGACTCTTGAGTCACTGGGATTATAGGTATGCACCACTACACCTGGCCAATCTCCCCATTTTAAAGCCAGTTAATTGGTAATCTTAACTCTACCTGTATTTTTGTTTTTTGAGATGGAGTCAATATGTCGTCCAGGCTGGTCTCAACTCTTGGGCTCAAGAGATCCAGATGCAGGTGCATTCCACCAGGCTCGGTACTATCTGTAATCTTAATCACCTTTTGCTATGTGACATGACATTTTCACAGATTTTAGGAATTAAGACATGGTCCTCTTTGGGGGTTCGCTATTTTGCTTAACAAGATGTTGAGTTGACACAATAAAACAGTGGTTCTCTGGCTTTAGAAATTCACTGACCATTTAAACAGGTTTTGTGATTTATATATGTATTACAAGTCATCCTCAAATGTGGTAGTTTAAGACAAAACCAAACAAATAAAAAAAAGAAAATCAAAATATTTAATTTTCTCACAAATCTGGGGTTCTGGCCAGGCTTGGCCAGAAGAATTGAGTTTTGACAGATGAATTAATGCTGGAGGTCAGTTAGGGACTTTTCTTGGGCTATTGGCCAGGGGCTTTGGGCTTCTACTCATGGCTGCTTGGGCTTCCTAACAGCATGGCAGTTGGATCTCAACAGGATTAGGCAGAGGCCCCTGACTTCCTATGATCTAGTTTCAGAAGTCCTAGATGGTCATGTCCACCCCAATTTATTAGTCAAGTAAGTCACTATGTCTTACCCAGACTCACGAGGAGACAAATTAGATGTACCTCTTAATGGGAGAAATACCTGAGAATTTGTAGCTATCTTTAATCTGCCACACACACACACACAAGCAAACAAAACGGAAGACTAATACAGTGTTACCATGTTTTATTCTGACAAATAGAAATATTTGAAAAATGATACCCTAGGGGCTGGGATTGTAGTTCAGTGCATGGCCTAGCACATGTGAGGCACTGGGTTTGATCCTCAGCACCATATAAATAAATGAAATAAAGGCATTATGTCCATCTACAACTAAAAATGTTTTTTTAAAAATGATACCCCCAAATGTTGCCACCTGCTGTCACATTATCACATCTTTTTAAAAGTAAGTGCTTTTTTCCTACCAAAAAAGTAGAATGGACATATTTCTAGAACAAATAGCAGTTCTTTGAATTGAACAAATTTAGCTTAATGAAAATCTCACTATGCTGTACTTATTTCGGGGGGGGGGGTCCATTAAGAAACCACCAAGTAAATAACATGAGTACCTCTGTGGTCCAGATCAGTAGTCCCCTGCTTTGCTCATGCACCCCAAGTCCTGCTGGCCTTGGAGGGTTACCTCCTGCTCAGTTCCTGCCCCCAGGGCACAGCCAACAGGCTCCTATGCAGACAGATCTTCCTGTTATCCAGAGTTTTCCCCTGGGACCACCAGGATGGGCTCTTTTCTGGCAGGGCTGGCTTGGACTTCATCCAGTGTGGCTGCTGCTCTGTGGGATAGACTATTCTGACTCTGCAGGCCTGGACAAGACTCAGTGATATAACTAGCCTGATGCACTGGGAAGCCTGCCCGACACCACTGCCATCACCCACCTGAGCTTATCAGAACCACTGGGGAAAATCTGCAGCACCAGGCTCCACCTTCCTTGAAAAGCTGGCTTTTCTCTGGCACTGTGGAGCCTCCAGGTCCTGCAGTGGGAAGACCCTACTAAGCCAGGCTCAGCAGTCTCCTGCTTCCCTCAGATGGGTGGTTTTTCAACCTTTACTTATTCCCCTGAAACCATGTATCTGGAGACCTCTGGTAGAGCCAACACCATTTGTATGCATTGCCCACAGCTACCCCAGGAGAGGCACAGTGCTTGACATTAAGAGGATCCTTCTTGGGAGGCTGAGGCAGGAGGATTCTTTGAGTCCAGGAGTTGGAGGCCAGGCTGGGCAACATAGCAAGACCTCCCACCCCCAGAGGGAAAGAAAAACAAAACTTCTTAAAAGAATACCTGAGGTTTTACCTGTGAATGGAATTACCTGTTGATGCTGATTCTCAAGCTAGGGAGACTCTGGCCCTCTGGATTACCTCCTTTCTCTGAGGCCTTAGGGTTTCAGGGGAGCAGCATCCTGCTTCCCCTTTCAACTAAGAGACAATATTAGAAAAGTGGAACATTTCTAACATTCTCAAGGCAGAGGGAGGAGTCAGGTTTATTGTGCACCCTACTCCTTTTAGGTCACTTGTTCTGTCTTAGGGGAATGATTTCCAAATGGACTTCTGTTTGTTGAAGTTATGATGGGAGCCAAAGGGGAAACTGGAAGCCAGTCATCTATCCATCCATCCATCGTGGAAGAATGTCTTATTTTTATGACAGGTGTGGAGAGGGACCACTCCAGCATGAGAGAGTATGCCCTGATTGCAGACTTCGCAAAGCAGTGTTGGGGGGTCACCCTCCCCATCTAGTGAGGCAAAAAGAATGCAGAGCCCTAGATTTGCAATTTGCACAAAGAGCCCATTCAATAGTCCACAAAGCTCATTTTCCATAATAGTCCTAATTAGAATCCTGATACACAAGGAGGGGAAACAATTTCCACAGACTCCAGCACGAGCTCATGGCAATTCAGTTGTTTGTTTTTCAACCCCGAGGTTATAGACACGCACCTCTCAAAAATAATACATATGTGTGGTAAAGCCGGATATTTTCAGACATTCTAGAAAAATGTGGCAGTAGCAATAATACGTTGTGGCAAAACAGCCTCAATTGTGAGTCTTCTTCCTCACATTTTTACCTCTCCTGTTGCCTGTCTTGGTGAATGTTAGGATTTTGTTAGGAGCTTAATATTTCAGAAGATACATTTTTTAAAAAGATTTTACCACCTGTTCTTGCTTCTCAGTTCTCACATAACCTTGGAATTTAAGCATCTTTCTGTCTGTTTTTTTTTTTTTTTTTTTTTGTCTTTTCTGCTGCACAGACCCTAATGATGTTTCTCTTGCTGAACGGCTGAACGGAGCAGAGATGAGCATGTTTATCAGCCATGCCGTGCCTGGTGGAACCGTCCTGTCTGCGCCTCACTACATGAACATTACTATTAACTGTTGCCAGGAGAGCCAGAGAAGACAAAGAGCACCCACCACGCGGCACCGATACTCTGCCATCAGCACTCCGCCTCTTCTCTCTCCTCATCTGCAGAAGGATTATTTTTCCCCCCTTTGCTGCATCTTGAACAGACCCCCATACTGCATTAGAACCCCACCCACCCACACTGCTTTCTCTTTTCTGCCTTCCTGCTCCTGTTCCCCTGGGTACCAATAATAGCTGTGGATGGTTGTAGTCAACACATTGCTTGAGTCTGAATCCTGACTCTGGTTGTGTGATGTTGCACCAGTTCCATAACCTCTCTGAGCCTGTTTTCTCCCCTGGGAGATAAAGGATTTGCTAGTTCCTTCTTCATGAGGTTGTCATAAGCGTGAAATGAGCTCTGGGCGTGAAGACTCTCATATACAGCAAGAATTTGTGGAACAATGTTTTTTTATTGTCACCAGTATTCTCATGGCTTTTTATATTTTCTTGGTAATTGGTCCATAGTAAAATTGTGACAATGAAGGATAGCAAAGTCTATATAGTATACATAGCGTATGTTCAATAAACTCTATGCAAGGGTCATTTTTGGGGGGGTACTGGGGATTGAATCCAGAGACACTTTACCACTGAGCTACATCCCCAGACCTTTTTATTTTGGGAGAGTGTCTCACTAAGTTGCTAGGTCTGGCCTTGAATTTGCAATCTTTCTGCCTCAACCTCCTAAATTGCTGGGATTTCAGGTTTACTCCACCATGCCCGGCTCTATAGGTATCATTTCAACTGGCCCCCACACTCTGCTGAACATAAGAATCAGTGCTGGTTTGGAAAGCACATCAGGATCCTCCAGTGTTTTGGGGCTTTTGTTTTGAAAAGGCCCTTTTTACCATTTTACTGCCCATCGGAAGAAATAAAGTCAAATCAATGGGCAGAACATCATTCCAACTTTCTCACCCCAGTTGAAGCCTTTTCCTGTGGATCCAGATAAAAAGTCTGTAGGAGACACTTCACGCTGTAGGGTCAGTGTGGAGGTTACATAATACCCAGTAAGTTTGCCTTTAAGGCAAATGTTTGAAGTCTTTCTCCCTTTAGTTTGATACAAAGAATATTTTCCCAGCAGACTTTTCCTAATGTCCCAATTTCATGTCCTTACTTTTCCACACTCTGTGTAAGAGAGCTCTTTCTGAAATGTACAAGTTTGTTGAAGAAGTTACAATACCACAGAACACATGGTGTGTTGCCCAAGTGGATTTCACCTGGGCCGGGCCTCCTCCTGTCTAGACAGCCCAGCCCAGCTCTGGCCATCCGTGACCTGCAGGGTGCAGGAGACAGGTCCAGAGGGCAGCTAAGCGGCCTATCCATTCACTGAGCTCTGAACTAAGTTCGGGTGACCCCAAACACTGTCCACTGGTTTGTACACCCACAGTACAAAGACGAGTTCCGTTCCTTTGTGCTGTCCCAGAACATTTGCCAGCTCTCAGTCACGTTGCAGGGGATCCTGTGGCCCTGCAATGAAAGGCCCTATTGTGATGACTGGTCAACAAGGCAGATCTAAGTCCATTCTGGGCATCAAAACTGGGAACCTCCCCGCTTTTTACGTGCTGAGAAGTGGGCGCTTAGTATTGTATTAAAGTAAATGGGAAGGAGGCAGTTCCGTTAAAAATACCCCAGTAAAGAAAAGGAGATACTTATCTGCTCATTGTCTCCGACTAGAAGCTTTTAAAACGACCTGAGAAATGGGCTTACTGCTTTCATTGTTTTTTTCCTTCTTCTTTTTCCTCCTTCTCACTGACATTTGTCCTCTTTTCTAAAACCTCCTCTCCTAGTGATCCAGGCGACTGCTGGGAATTCTCCCTCCACCATGTGGACAAACAAGCAGATCATTCAAAGTATTCAGATCACACAGACAAAGACATGGAAATGCTTAGGATTCAGAGTTCTGGCTGGTTTGAAATGTGCTTTTGGGCAAATGATGTAGTGAGCTGAATGTTCATTAAATATACAAACCAATTAAGAGCTGTTTAATGCTAAGGCAATTGATCTTTCAGAGATGGATATTTGGGTGCAGCACCAGATCTTAACCCTGGCTGGGTACACCAGAGCACCTGCCTGGTTAGAGTTTTCTAGTCTATAAAATGATAGTTAGGCTTCAGTGAACCCCAGATTCCCTTGGGGGCTCAGTTCAAATCCCAGCTTTGTTGTCTGCCTCTTCCTGGTGCTGCGATTCCATAGTATCCTTCAATTATTCTAGGACTGATTTGGTAGAAGGGATCCAGAGCAAACGGAGGCCTCTACATTAACAATGCAGAAGTTGTGGTGTGAGGCTGACATCTCTGAAGGCACAAGAGGGCAGATGTTGAAATGAAGAAGACAGTGAGACCCAGTGAGCAAATGACCCTTGTTAGTGCAAAAGGACGGGGCCGATGCAAACTTCATGGAATCAGCTCAGCATAGCTTTTATTATTCAGGAACAGAAAGAAGCTTCTGATGGACCCATTTTCCTGGTGGAAAATGAGCCACCAACCAAAGGGAGGGGGTTTAGGCTTATTAGGTTGCATTGAGCGGTGACTCAATGAATGAGCAGGTCAGTTTGGGCTTTCTTTACTGGGCCAGATGGGGTTAGTAGGTGTGAGGTCAGTATCTGGGAAAGAATTTGCTTAGGATGGCATCAATGCTTTGGCTTCTTCCTAGAAATTGTCATTTCAGACTTGATGGCTATCTCCACCCAGGGGCCTGTCTTGTCCCTGTGAAACACAGTGACTCCCTCATACCTTCTCCCTGGGCCACATGGTTTGGGGGTTTGTCTTTTTCCATATCCAACAATGCTACTTCCTCTCTGGCATACAGAAGCCCTGACTTGAGGTTCCCTGAGCTCTTTGTTTTTTCCCCCCGAAACAACTTCCATCTGAAGTGAGAGGACTTGGTTCCTGAGTAGAGGAGACAGGACTGGAATCCCAGGGAGACCACTCACCTGGAATCCTCAGGACACAACACGGTAGAGACAACTGCACCCAGGAGAACTCGAGTTCTACAGTGTGCTCTTCAGCTGGGTACTGATCAGCATGTGTGTGTGAGGGAAGGGCACAAGGGTGCGTTAGAATCCCCTAAAAGGATTTGAGGGAAGTATCCCTAGAGCTCACTCAGGACGGGGGTCGTCCCTGTTACCACCACTCAGAGTTGAAAGCCTTACAATCCACAAGGTACTTATGGGTAAGGTACTGGGAAGGGCATTCTGGGTATTGGGGCTTAATTACCTCAAACTAGTATGTAGGCTATTAGACTAGAGGCAGTCCCAGCCCCTCCCCAAAAAGGCTTCAAAGTACACTGTGAGAGGGTCAGAATATTTCCAAGTAACTAAACTGTGTTCCAGAACAACACTTGGGATATTTTTTAACATAACATTATACCTAGTGCTTAGCAAGGAAAAAATTCAATCAAAAGAAACATGAAGAGACTGATACCAAAAGCACATCATATCCAAGTTGCTCAAAACCAGTGATAAAGGCTTGAAATCAGCTAAAGGAAAAAAAATGTTAGGTTATGAACAGAAAAGTAAAGATAAGGATGACAATGGAGGTCTTGTCAGAAACAAGGCGGTGACAAGACAGAGGAACAATCATCTTTAAAACACTGAAGAAAAACTATTGTCAACCCTGAATTCTCTACTCAGCAAAAATGTTTTTCAAAAACAAGTGCAAAAGAAAGATGTTTTCAGATATTCTCACCCTGAAAAAAAAAAAATGATCCTGTATTAGAAGAAATGTACTAAAAGAAAGTCCTTCAGGCAGAAGGAAAATGATACCAGATAAAAACTTGGCTCCTCAAAAAGGAAAGAAGAGCTCTGGACGAGGCACTTCAACTACTTGAAACATGTAACAAGCTCTGGAGCGGGACTTTTCCTGTTGCTGTTGGCTATTTGAAGCCCACAGTGACGCCAACGAAGTTCTCCACATCTGAGCCAACATGCCCAGGAGCCAGAGATTCTTAAGAGATGACTTATGTGACTCTATTAGCACCAACACCACCTTCTACCTTGTAAGTCTGGGAAGGGGAGTGAGCAGAGAGCGTGAGTCACTGGAATGCAGTGGGTGTGAGAGGTGACTCCTTCTCCCTCCTGAGGTGAAGGGCAATGAAGGCAGCTGTACTTTGTCCCCCGTGGGGGGATTCTAAGAAAATCAACAATAAATATTGGGGTGTAAATTAGTTCCCCCATTTGAGCATTTGATTAGGAAAAGGACATATGGGTTTCTAGTACCTCATTAGGAAGCAAAGGATCTTGGAGAAAGAAGAAAGGAATGCAGGGAGCAGGGTGAACCCACCCAATTTGTTAGAGCCAGGACATTTGTTCCCTGTGGTTCAAGTGGATGCTACTTAGTAAGTAGCTGAATTTGTTCCATCCTCAGCTGAGATGGTTCTCTCCACCATTTTCCAAAGAGCTTGAGCACATTCAGTGACAGGAGCTGAGGGCATGGAAGGGGCTGAGCCTGCTCTGCATGTCCTTCTAACATATATCCCCACCCTCAGAAAGACAGCACCTGGATGCTTGCCTTTCAGAGGATGTCAGCAGCCTGTCCAAGGTGGCTGCCAATAGAGAAAAGTCTGCAGCAATGGTCTGCTATATGACTCCCTTCCTATCCTCCTCTCAGCCCAGTACACTAGAGGACAGTCCTGAAAGGGGAAAGTGGGGACCTGGGGTGTCCTTACAGTTAATGAGGGACCAGGACCATAGATACATACACATATACATTTTTGTGATTATGCATGTATATACAATGGATAAATGATAAATGTCACGTACACTTATCATGCATATCTGTATTGTTTACAACTTTCTATTATCATAAATAAGGACAGTGAACACCCTTGCACATAATCTTTGTGCATATTCTTTATAATTTCCTTGGAACAAGTTCCCAACAGGATGCCAACTCCTAAGGTCTAGCAGCTGAATTCCCATCTAGTGGTGGAGCAGGACCTGGGGAGCAGGAGGAGCTGGACCTCAGGGAGGCTGGAGAAAATGCTCTCTCCCCGTGCCTCTTTCTGCTTACTGCTGCATCCACCCCTTGCCTCTCAGGTTCCCCCTTTTTCATTCTTTGCCCCTTCTGCCCTTTTGACTCCAGATTGTTTCTCTCCTCTGCCCAAATCTTGTTCTGTTTCAGGGCTTTGAAACTTCCCTTGGTCCCCCCCTCCCCCACCAACAGGCTTTGGGTAGCTTCCCTGGACACTCTGTGGTAACAACGTGGTCGCAGCAGCTGTCACACCTCAGTGGTGTGTACCCCAGAAAAGATGATCTTTTCTAGTGGCTTCCACAGTTCCCTAGGGACTCTCTGATTGGCTTAGTGTAGGTCACATGCTCATCTCTGAACCAATGACTGTGACTGATTGACCTCCTCTGGGCCAGTTGCTGGAGCTCTGCAGTCTTGGGCAGACTCTACCCAGCCCACAGGGACTAAGAGAAGGGGAGAGGTGGACCCTGAAATAAAAATGGATCTCTGTTCTGGGAGTAGTGGGAATATCCTTGAAAAGTCAATCTCAAATCTCTTCTCTTTTTTCTGCTTATTCTCCTTCTCATTCTTCTTTTGTGTGTGTGTCTTGTAAACACAATAAAGGAGTTTGGGTGGTGGTGATGGGGTTTGAGAGGATTGAAGGCTCGAACACAGGGTCTCAGGTGCACCAGGCAAGTGCTGTACCAATGAGCAATTCCCTCAACCCCATCAAAAGGATTTTAAATTCTTAATCTTTTTTTTTTAACACTAATCTAGGGCATTAAAAGTAATTTCACAACCAGGTGCTGTGATGCATGCCTATAATCCCAGTGACTCAGGAGGCAAGAATCTTCTCAGTACCAAGCCCTGAGCTAGGACCTTTGCATGTTTTGATTTTTTAAAAAATATTTATTTTTATTTATTTATCTTTATGTGGTGCTGAGGATTGAACCCAGAGCCTCACCTGTGCTAGGTGAGCGCTCTACTGCTGAGCCACAATCCCAGCCCCATGTTTTGATGGTTAACCCTTACAATACTTGCAAGGTGATCTTAGAACTCTTATTTTACAGGTGAGGAAACAGGCAGAGAGAGGTTGCCTAACTTTTCCAGAGGATGGACCTGGTAGCTCCTGCCAAATGTTCAACCTCAGGGTGTGTATACCCAAACGCCTTTGTCTTGAAGAAAACAGAGTATTTTCTACAGGAATATCGGTTGTTCCTGAGGTCTGTTAGTGTTCATAGTGCTCTGGCTGCTTCAGAAGCCGCAGCTTTGTCGGCCTTGGAACATCTCAATGGCTGTGGGGACAGGATAGCACTAAGAAAAGCCAAGAAGCAAAAGAAGGATCTGAAATTCAGATATTGGACAACATAAAGAAAGACTACAGGGTCCTTGGAGTTGGTCAAAGGATGCCACACCTAGGTTTTTCCAGAAAAAAAAAAAAAATTGTCTTTTTGCTGTAGCTGGACGGGGTGAGGGGCTTCTTAAAAGCATTCTGATGCCACCTCCTGGTCAGACCAAGGACTTGGGAACTGAAATGCACAAGAAACAAGCACTTACTGAAGCACCTACAGTCTAATCTCTGTTTCTGTCATTATTTCGGCAGGCCATTATTTGATCTGTGCCTCACGTGTTTGGCGCTGTTTGACTTCCTGGAAACCTCATGTGCAAGGATGCAAGGTTGAAGCAGTAGCGTTTGTTATCCTCTTGTCTGCAAACAAAGCCTCTTTTCTGTTACAGAAATTAGGAGTAGGAAAATCAATGCCTTCCCCCACAGGTGAATCATCAAGAAAATGTGCAAGTCTTCAAACGGTGATGGTTCCACTCCAGGCTGGTGAATTCCATGAGCAAACAAAGCTCTGTTTGTAACCCAGTTAGATAAGAATGTTCTGGGGCATTTTTTTTTTCTTGGTACAGGAAATAAGAGTTGGGTGATTCCAATTTATGTAATATTGGCAGTCTTCTCTTTAGTCCGTGTCTCTTATTTTGTTACACATATTTTAACTGAAAGAAAAGAGAACTTTTAGAAGACCATGAAACCCATGGTCTTTTTGAATGGGCAAAGGTAAGGAGGAAGTGCGTCATGTGTAGAGAGGACACCTCCCGTTTGTCTGTTGGACTGGAGCAAAGGGTACACGGTGGTGGAGGGTGGGTCAGGGCCAGCCCAGGGAGGGCAGTGAATGCTCAGCTACAGAGAACAGGTTTAATTCTCAAAGTCGTTGAAGTTAATGAAGATATTTGACCAGATGAATCAGAACCAGGTTTTAGGGAGAACAATCCATTAGCAATATGTGACACCAAACACCAAAAGCTAACACACCACCTGATTTTGGAAAATCAATGGAGAAATTTGGAAAATCAAACAGAAATAGAGGGTGGAGGCCAGCGGCCCGTTCAAAGTCCACCGCAGTCTCCCTGGCTGAAGGGAGGACAGGCATGAAGAAGGAGGTGATCAGTAATGGATGGAATGTTGGTCCCTAAAAGATATGTCCATGTCCCAGCCCCTAGACCTGTGCATGTTACCTTAGATAGAAAGAGGGTCTTTGCAGAAATAATTAATTAAAGATCTTGAGATCATCTGGATTATCCATGTGGGCCCTGAATCCAATGAAAATGATCCTTGTGAGAGATGGGAGACATTTCTTCCTTGCTCATCCCCATGTGCTAAGGTTTGGATCTAAATGTACCCCGAAGGCTCATGTGTTAAAGTCTTGGTCCTCAGCTGATAGCTTTACTGGAGAGATGGGGCCTACTAGAAGGGAGTTAGTTCTCTGGGGGTGTGCCTTCAAGAAGGATAGTGGGACCCAGGTGTGCCCTCAAGGAGGATAGTGGGACCCTGGCTCTTCCTCTTGCTTCCTGGCACCAGGAGGCGAGCAGGGTTGCTCCATGCAGTCTCTACCATGATATTTGGCCTTGCCAAAGGTCCAAAGCAAAGGGCCAAGTGACCATGGACTGAACCCTCTGAAACCGTGAGCTGAAATCTTTCTTTTTTTCCTTGGGTATTTTGTCACAATGAGGAAAAGCTAACACACCACCTGATTTTGGAAAATCAATGGAGATTTCAGTGCTGATGCCTGCCTTTCTCTTCTACCTTCCATCCTTCAAGCTGTTCCAGTAGAGGCAATGTGGTCTCAAGGGCTCCAGGGAAAATCCTCCCACTTTGGCACACAGGCCAGGTGACAAGGGGATCTGTGACTTAGCTGTGCAGCAATGACAAAGGGAAGCGCTCAGGGAGGCCTGGAGCTCCCCCTACTCCCATGACATGTTGTGCACATGAGCTGCTGGTTCCAATGACAGAGAAGGCCTGGTTTCTCTCTGAGGGTCACCAGGTGTCACTTCCCCAAATCAGAGAGACAGGGCTGGTCAGGGGATCTCAGGGTGAGGTTTTTCACCCTGACCCAGTTGGGCTGCAGGAGTGGAGAAGGGTGCTTAGGTGGGACTCCCCCAGGCCAAGGCTGAGGTTCTGTTTTGAGGACTAAAGAGGGTTGAGGGTGCTCACTCAGTCTGTGGAGGTCCGAAGACCTCCAGGAGCCCAGTCCTCCTGTGGAGACAGTGTTTGGCACCGCAGGGGTGACCACAGACCAGGTTGGTCCCCGGAGAGACCAAGGTCACACTCAGCAAAGCTGTGAGCCACCAATGCTGTAATTTTCCAGTCTCAGCCTCAGCCTCTTGCAGTGACAATGGCCTCTTTTCTTATTCATCTTCCCTGCTAGCGCCAGCAAGTCACCAAATCCTTTGCTTTTTTCCTCATGTCACACCTCTGTCCTTTCTTCTCCCGGTTAGTCCAGGCATCCTTATCTGGAACCTCTGGTCTTTGTCCCTCCCAAACTTTCCACTGCTGTTGAGTTGCCCAGGTCTCTGTGCCTGTCCACTGCATGCAGGTCCAGCCCAGACTCCTTGGCCGCCACCACCCAGTGCATACTCTGCTCTGATTCCCCTGATGTCTCCTGCTCTCTGCACAAACCTCCCACCCCAGAGGCGACACACTGGGCTCTTGTTTCCTGGATTCAGGGTACTCATTCCTGGCTCCAGGCTCTTCCTCACGCTGTTTCCTTTTCCTGAAATGCATTCCCCATGGACCTAGCCATGGACTCTTTAAGACTCAGCTTCCCCCCCACCACCACCACCACTTACTCCAGGCTGCTGAACCCTCTTTGCTGTGAATGTTTTGCTAAGTAGCACAGTCACTTGTGACACAGTCACTGGAGCAAACACACTATAAGGAGCAGGCAAATCCCACCCCTCTGACCCTGACCTCTGTTCTCCTGTAGGGGTTCCCTACTGGAGGAGTCCCCCCCACTGGAGGAGCCCACTAAAAGCCAGAGGGCAGTGGGACCTGTGGATGGCACTGTACAGTCAGCCTCTTGGGACATGAGCAGGGCAGAGGATGGATCTGAAAGAGCTGGTGGGAGGCACCCAGAACATACTGTTCCTGGAAGCTTCTAGAAAGCAGGAACTAGGTCTTACTCCCCTTTATACTTTAAGGCCTGGCACATAATAGGTATATGATGTACTTTTTTTTTTCCTGAAGAAATACAAGAAAGAAGGAATGAATGTGTTTGTACATATACCTGGGAAGATACCAGGAGCCGGTGAACAATGACCAGGCTGACCCATATGGCGCCATCCACAGTCCCATTGCCCTCTGGCTTCTGATCTGCAACCCCAGTGGGGAACCCCTGCAGGAGAACTGAGATCAGGGGTTCTAGGGGTGGAAATTTATTTGCTGCTGCTTGCTGTAGGGTTGCTCCAGTGGCTGTGTCCCAGGTCTAGTTAGGAGGTGCTTTCTACACTTTTCTTTCTCTTTGGATCTAGGACCTGATCCTTCCCCTTCACACTCAGGCTGGGGTGGTAACTGCCCCAGTTATTAACAGCACAGACTCATCCTATGGCTTCCCCACACCCTCCCCACACCTTTGCAAACAGTCCCCTTGCTGAGCTCTGCCAGGTGTTTCCATGTGCCGTTTGTTTCTTGCCCAGCACCCTAACTGACACAGATGGAAAAGCCTTCCAGGGAGAGGCTGGAGGGGGGCACAAGAGGTGCCTGAGAACAGGAAGGACCATCACACACTTTGAAGCTTCTACCCAACCAGAGTCCTGGGCACAGAGTGGATGCCCAAGGACTCACTTTGTTTTATGTCTATAAAAGAAACTTTACTCTTTCTAATTGAATCCATATCCCTCTGTACTTCCCATGTGGCACATTCATCATTGCAAGATGAACTGTTAAAAAAAATTAAAAACTTAAAAAAAAAAAACTTAAAAAAAATTTTTTTTAAGCCTGCTCTACTGAAGAGTTTCTGACAAAGATCTTTGAATCTGTGCCCCTGAGGGCTCCAGGGGGTGTAAGACTTGCTGTCCTGATGTGGGTGGCAGTGGCTAGAACAGGGACTGCTTCGTTTCATCAACAGAGGGTCTCATGTTGTCAGCAGGCAGCAATAGCCACGGGACAAGATGCAACCAAATCTGACCCTGAAACATCCTGTCCTGGCCACAGTGAAACTCTTCCCCATTAAGGATCTCCAGGAGAAATATGTTCATCAGATA